TGCAATCTTCGTATCGCTGCATCACGTGCATGTCTTATCGTTTCTGAACTTATTCTAGCACATCACAACTTATGCAAGTATCCGTTGTTTCATATTTTCTGGTGTAGTGGGTACTTCTTGATAAACAGCATTTTTCAATGCTCCCCAGAGTAAAAAATCTCATGAGGTTAAATCTGGAGAACGAAGTAGTCAAGAAACTAATCCTCCACGTCCTATCCATTTATTTCTGAATATAATGTGCTGGACACTCGTCATGCTGTAACCACATCATTTGGCGAACGTTTAGTGGTATATTTTCTAATAAAGTCCCTTATGAAATAATACAGCATGTGCTAGAATAAGTTCAGAAACGATAAGACATGCACGTGATGCAGCGATACGAAGATTGCAACTTTACATTGACGCAAACGATCTCCACTTCGAGCATCTCCTGTAATGTAAGAAAGTTTATGTTACTACCACATTTGACCTTGCATGACCTTCAATGATAGCTCGCTGAAGTCATCTCAACACCGGCTATCACATTGCGATAAAAAAAACATAGCATTCCATTACAAAAAAGAGAGGTGACCTTGAAATCTCCTCTATGCCTTCACCCACGCAGAAAATGTTTGTGTCACAATATGCCCCCCTCTATACCGTGTAAGTTTTGTATATAACATTTTTTCATATTATTACAAATAACGGCAATATTCAAAGTGGACATAGTTATTGTCCCACCCTATATAATACGTTTTATTTCTCGAATAATGTAACTGACTAACTGCTTTGGCTAGCTACTTCAATAAAGTGTGCTGATAATGCTTTGCTCGAAAACACAAATCCAATTTTACAATTTATGTAGAATTCTTTCGAAAGTTGGTCCCACTTACTATTCTATTTTGTAATCTCTACCGTATAAAATAATGTTGAAATTATTTAAAAAAGGCTTACTCCTGTACTGACTGCCGAAAGCATTATCCTTTCGTTGAGTGCTAACGTTTCGCCCTGTTTCATTTTTATTCGCTTCTTGTCGAGGCACTTCATGGCGTACATTTTCCCTGTGTCCGCTTTCCGACAGCCATAAACTTCGCCGAATCCACCTCTGCCTATTATTCGATGTACACTGAAGTCATTCATTGTCAACTGGAACAATAATTCAACCAAGCAATTTGTAAATTATACAATTTTACATTCTGTTAACGAATTTATACACTTATATTTTTTCTTTACACCGAGGACACATTGTCTTCACGTTACGTATGCGAATATGAGATTACTCGCACAGTGTGAATATAAGTGGTTTATTTTACAATAAGTTTAATGGCGCAGATTCAGGTAATCGTTATCAAATGTATCGTACACGACATAGCGTAGCACATCGGTCTGAATAGTGTCGCAACACCTGTTACATTTTCAGTTGTATGTACAGGGTGTCAAGAAATTACACGTCACCTTCGGTTGGGGGGAGATTGAGCTAAGAACGTTGCCGCAAAATTGACCTTCACCTTGAAGATCAACTTCCTTTTTATCGTTGCCTTATGTTCTACACATGGTGAGGATGAAAAGTCTAAAAAGAACCATAGATCGGAACTCAACCGTTCTCTTGAAAAATTATGTTGAAGTGTTCCTGTTAAACGAAACACCTGCTAATGCGAAGTTTTTGTACTGAACGCAGACGTCTAGAGATTTTCGTCAAATATTTACCATATGACTCATTCAGCGAAAGTGATAATTTCGATAATTTCACGCAAAATCTGGCCAGTGTCATAAATTAAACATAATATTATAGACACAATTGAGTGATGATAATAAAAATGTACGAATTCGTTTGATTATGTCGCTATTTTTACTTACTTTAAATCATAAATTTCAAAAAATTTTAAATTAGCCTGTTCAGAAAATAGTGAACCGTGATGAAGAAATATATTCAATAACATATACATTTTAACTCAAGTACTATTTTCTGCCACAAATTTTTTTTTTAACCCTTTTGATGCTATGAGCGTGTATACAAGTTTCATGAATTGGCCTCTATATGCATTGATTATATGTATATGCAACTTCTTATAACACTTGAATTCCTAATATGTAGTACATGCAAATTCAACTGCCTGAAATCTGTATCCTTTAAATCTGACTACATGTACCAATATCTAGAACATGAAAAGAATGAGAATTTGTTTCGGAGACGACTGTTGAATTTGCGTCCACTATAAAGCGTATCACTAAAATATACCGTAAGTAGATATTGTAAATTTACCTGCATATTTAATTCTAAATTCTTCCACTGACAAAATCGGGTGTACTTTTCACTGGAAACATACAACAATATTTCTTAAAACTTATTCAAGACATGAATGGGCTAATGAAATATGTCTTTGAACATACCTCTCCAAAAACTTCTTGAATGGCTCTCCTCTTAAGTGATTAAAAATTTCTTCGATATATGGCTGCAAAGGTAATCGTTGCGATTTAATTGGATCGACGCAGATTGACCAAGTTGTTAACGTTATTAGAATTAAGCGATATCAGATCGTGAAGGACCAACCTCGAATAAATTAACGGGAACTTCGTTTTTTATGAGGTAGTCCTGAACGGTGGACACCGCTTCCATGGAGTATTCCTGAAAAATAATCGAAAACTTAAGCACGTTTCGTTTGCATACGGTTCTAAATTAATATTTTATATAAATTTTTAAGACTAAGTTTTAATTTACTATATGCTTTAATTACCATTCAAATAGAAAAGTGTCAAAATTTTTCTTTCATTTTGAAATTAATATTTTTAAGAATTATTATTAACACTGTTAACTATTATGTGTCATTGTGAAATACAATTGTTGGCAGTTTTTAAGCGAAACAGTGTTTCTATTAATCGGAAATGGACTGCTACCACTGTCAACGATAATAAATTCTCCAAAACGAGACTAATACCGAATTGGAATTTATATTTCAATTAAAGATGAATAATATTCAGAACTTTTACGCATATTTTATTCATTATGCTTCCCAAAACGTTTCTTGATCTGTTCGTGGTGAACTTATATATAATGCAAATAATAGTATTTTACAGTTGCAAATATAGCGGCTCACATACAGAACAGCTTGCGTTTTCTCCGATTTATTGTCACATACAATTGTACTAACAAAGAAGACGACTTAACCGTGTTGAAGCGGAAAACTGTAGATAGGGGACGATTTAAAGCAAAGCTAAAATTAGGGGTGAACCAAGCAGGGAAAAAGTCGTGTGAAAAAGACCGCGGAAATAGTTTCTTTTCTGAGAACGTCGAGGGCTAGAGATTAGAAGCTCTCCTCGTACGTTACGAAAAGACCTATTCCAGGCCCTATTCAAGCATTCATGGAGAAGTTAAAGGCAAGGAAGGGTTCGTGCTTTCATACGGGTTTTCATGGTTCAGAAGCGATTTTCGGCGCTTTTTCACGTGTTAAAAACTAAAATGGTGCAGCTTTGAAGAACTGTTTTTCTTCTTTTTAATGGAGACTCAATATAAACCTGTTTCAGTAAATATGTATTTGAGTACAGCGATGTTCCGATTTCACAATATTTTCATTTCAGACATTGTGTTGAAAAGAAAAAAAAAGATATTTACCGCGAGAACTATGTGTAGAAACTTTCCGATAGGCGTTGTTATTTATTCATGTAATGATCAATCAGTTATTTTTACAAAAAATCGTTAAGTATGAACCTTGATAAGAGTCACTCACGTGCGTATGCGATAGCAGCTCCTTCATGATGAAATTATCATAGATTTCTTTGGCCAGCTTTTTCCTTTCTTCAGGGCATTCGAGCTTCTCGTACGCCTTAATCTACAATGCACAAATGAGAAATTCCTTATGGAGTTGGATGGCAATGCCTGTCACCACGCTACTGACGTGAGACTTAACTAGTGTGTATGTGTGTGCAGGCTAACACGAACCTCTTCGTAAAACCTAAGTTGCGGAACTGGTTCCTCCGCCACATTTTCGCAGAAGTCTTTGAATAGAAGATATCCTGAAAGAACAAAATGAGAGACAAAAGTAATGCATGTTTTCGAGTCTTCGTGTTGGGTTTTCCTCTGTTCTGTCCCAAAAAGTAGTATCCCAAAGTACGTAGTGTTACGTAGCTAGTTAGTGTACCCTAAATATTTACGTTGGTTACCTAGTACTAGTGATGGGTAACCGAGCATTTCGAACTACTCGAAGGAGTATATATTTAATAACATAGAATTCGTATCGCGACATAAAAAAGTACGTTATTAAATATAGTCCGATTTATGTCGGGTTTGGATTTATTTTCATCAAGAGAATCTCCTGCATTTATTCATAACATTTTTAAGAAAGTACACTGAAAGGAGTAAAAGTTTACATTTTTTTTCATGGGTGATTCGTTCCGTATGTTACATTGTAACCCGAGGGTCGGTTGCCGGCGGCCAGATAACATCCTTCGCCTTCACGTGCCAGAGCCTCGGGTCTCCGCTGAGATCATAAACCTGTCACCCGAGCTCGTTCGAGTAGCTCGAATTGCTCGGTTACCCATCACTACCTAGTACCCAACTGTAGTGTCCCAAAACTCTCCAAATGTAGTACAGGTCACGGATATGGAGACAATTCTAGTTGTTGGATTAATTTGTTTATCACTTTTATTTTATTATTATCTGTTAATACGTGTTCGCAAAAAGTTTCTTTATGAGCATATTAAACAAATTATTTTACCATATTGTATGTGTGAAACATGTTAATGGCTACATGACATTTTTTCTTTCAAAGCTTAAGAGTTAGAGCACTTGCAGTGGAAATACAGTACTGAAAGTAAGGCATTATTTCCACTTGCGATCCAAATTACGCAACTGACAAGTAAATGTTGCAAACAGTTCGACCCCGATTTGAATGCAACTTTGTAGACTTGACGAACAGCCAAAAATAGCAGATACGTGTTTTTTCAGCGGTGGTAACTCAAGTTTAACGAGTGAAACCACCTTCCGAAACAACCTTTGAATGACGAATAAAGATAAAGTATCTTTTATTCGAATCGTTATTTAAATAATTCTTTTTCTAAATAATAGCCAACTGTATTTTAAACGACGAAGCAGGCGGCTTGCCTTTTGTACCCTAGCAACGAGAGATTCACCCTGTAGAATTCAACGCGTTCAGGCATTCCGACCATATGACAGTTCGCATTGAGCTTTCTTTCTTGCTTCAGTGCCTTACCTGTGTTTATATTCTGTACAGTTACATTCACATTTATAGTTCTTAGTGTCTCTCTGTTCGTTCTATATTGTGAGTAGAGTGGACTCTAACTATGTTGCCACTAAACATATTGCCACGCGAGGCCTCTCCCCTTCACACGTACTTTCACGCACACAATTGCGTACGCCGGCACACCAGCACGATCCCGCTGTTGCGCAGGCGTCGAGGTCGAGGCTATGACGATGAAACTTAGCATGAAGGGACCTCTGAACTTATTGCCATTTTAGTTAGAATAGTAATATAGTTAGAATCCACTGTATATTGCAAGTATATTGTCTTCAACGACAAATCAGTGAACATACAGTGCTGTAATCTGTTTTTTGTTACTTTGCTTTTTTATCGAGATATGAGGGTCACCTTCAGTTTTTTTAAATGGAATGCCCAATATTTTGCCCCGAATTCGGATAAAGCACCACATTCTGCATAAAAAAGTTTTATACCAAAGAGAGCTTAATATTATTAATTACTGAGATATTCTCAAATTAATAATCTTCTATTAGAAAATATTTCATAATGCTCAGTCAACGTGGAAGACGACTTCGTTTACTTCTTGTTTGTCAACACGTTCTTTGTTACATGTTAGACATCATCACTATTAGATGTAGCTAAATTGAAATGCGATCGATTAAATATTTTTCCGTTAATTCGTACGGAACCCAAAAGTCGTATTTGTTTGTCATGTCAAGTTTTCTTAAATGTAATGGAACGGATTTGTGTGATATGTGTAGTACGCTGGCAATTTTCATTGTCGTATATCTTAGATTTTGTTGGATTAAATGCGCAATTTCATCCACAATCAGTCTAAAGTTGAAATTTCCATCGTTTTAAACCTTTAGATCCACTTTCGGTCCGTTTATTGATTGCAGTATCCCCATAAATACTAAAACATTTCTTTTTCTCTTTCGCATTTTTTTGCCTTCGAAAGTAAAAAAAAAAACTAAGTGATAAAAATGAATATTCTATTCGCTCATCTCAAAGATGCATTTTACTTGACCACGACAGAAAGGAAACTGAGTGATGCCCACCGATAAAACACACCCAGATTATACGCAATTTAATACGCATAAACATTGTAACAAAACAATCAACAGTTAGAAAAAACACTTATTACACAACCTAATAACAATACTAAATATTACTTCAACAATATTTGAAACAAGTCTCCGAAAGACTAATCTACTGCGGTTGTTCCAAGTTTTTGATAAAGATTGTGATAAGAACTTCCAATTTCTTTTGCATGCTCGAATAAGGGCATTCCCTCTTCATTCTTAATACGTAAAAAATAAGTATACTTAAAAATTTCTCACCAAACATTTGATTGAATATTTTATCGAAGGTTACTTCTTTCTTCTTTTCCAGATATTTGTGCATTACGCTTTTGACACTGCAACAGAAAGAAGTACGCGAATGTAACAATTAAATTCTGACTGTTAACTAATGTATGTGATAGCTATACAAGTGTTTATATGACCTCAATTAGCACACATAACGAATACAGTATTCCCACCCTATAATCACGTATTTATACACCTCCATATTGACATATTGCCACATTCGCCATATGACGGGACTGTTTGTTGACAGTAGGCGTACGTTGCTTCATTACTGTTGATAGTAAAAGACAGATACGTATATAACAATAAGTAAATGTAAGAAAACAAGACAAAAGCGAACCGCAAGGTAATCAGATGATTGCAAAAGGATGGTCCATGTTTTTTATAACCGTATTGATCGTCCCAAACAACGCGACTATAGAAAAGGAATACTGTAGTTTTGAGACATTAACGATAACAGCAGTAGAGTAGAAGCCCAATAATTGAGAGTCCGTTAATTGATCACTGGGAACACCCCTCGCTCACACGTACAGTGGCCTCTAACTACATGACTCTCGCGATTATGGTCCCGAACTCGGGTCCGCGAGGGGACGATAATCGTAGACTACGCAAAACGCTTCTGAGCCTCGTGAATACGTTTTTTTCCCGAAGCTCGAGCCTCGGCAACTCGCCATTGTAGCATTCCGTAGATAGAAAAGGACAAGCCAGTGTAAAACAGAGAGAAAGTTTCGTTTCCTACTCAACTCGGCTACGTGGCCCGCCTGCGACGCTCTCGTCGACCAATGGTTACATTATAGCTGACCACACACTCCGATTGTGTGTGTACTGTTTCGGCCAATAATAAAAATACGTGTGACTGGAGGTGATTCAGCTACATTTAATTCGTCGGCAGCTCTCTGCAGTCTCTGGGCAGTCGCTGACGATTGAACGCTTCGACTAATCGTCGTACATTCCGCCGCTCCGTCCTTCGAGTCCATCGAGCGCATACATTGTTGCACGGCGCGCCGAGACGGTTTCCCATTCTCGAGCCAAAAAAAATTACATTCCCGGGTATCGGTGAGACAACGCTAATGCAACAATGAAACTTTTTTATTTTTGATTCGTTGTTAATGAAACGTTTACTAGTACATTGGTGAGATTTGTCTGATTAAAATGATACCAAACACGACATAATTTGGATCATATTTACTCATGTAGAAAGTTTCAATAGTTCATATTCGTTCAGTATCGCTTCTGATAAATCATAAGTAAATATCATCCAAATTGTCATGCTTGGTATCATTTTAATCAGAAAAATCTGACCAATATGTTCATAAAAGTTTCATTAATTATGTACCCAAAATAAAAAAGTTTTATCGTTGCATTAGTATAGTCTCACCGACACCCGGGAATGTAACCTTTTTGTGGGCTCTCAACGTGAATCGTCAATGGTGGGGATGACCCATGGACAAGAATCGCATATCAACAAAGAGTCAATAATCGCTAGAGCCCTGTATATTGCCATGTTCGGGGCTGTAGAGGAGTAAAATGACAATAATTTCAGAGCCTCTTTCATCCTAATTTCTGTCCTGGTAGCCGCGGTCTCGGCGCCTGCGTAAAAACTGGATCGTGCTGTTGCGCCGGCGTACGCAACGTGGTGGGAGAGCGAATTTGTGTGGTCGAAAGTACGCGTGAAGAGGAAGTGCCTCGCGTGGCAATATGTTGAGTGGCAATAAAGTTAGAGTCCACTGTATTTCTCTTACATGTGTGCGCGTATTTATCACAGAAAGTGCGATGTATATAATATTGTTTTAATGAAATGTTTCAATATTAAGTATCTTTTGTAAATCAACTTTTTTGATATCTCTAAAAATAACGGAAATCGCAGGGCGGTCAAAAAGTGCATACATCCAGCTCACCCTATATTTAATTATTTCGCAGAAGTGAACGGTCGATCGGTGGGGAAAGCGCGCGAATGATTCAAGTCTGTTAATTTACCAATTCCGAAATGATCAATTATTGAGCTCCTATTGTATTATAGTTAATAAGTATACAAAATAACTCGCAGAAAAACATACTCTACTACAAAAATTTAATTGTATGCAACAGTGAAAACTAACGAAAAACATACAAGCTATTTATGTTTGACATATCTCCTTTGATCACTACTTTACTTGCGTAAATCACAGTTTGATTAGATTTCATTTTTATGAAAATGGGTAATAAATTATTAGCACTGAACAATGCAAAATAAGATGTACCTATTCTCGAAACAACTGTTCCACGACAAACATAAAATATAGTAAATTGTTTAAAAATCTGTTCTAGGGTAAAGACTGTGTGCATTACTTATGAGAATGTGGTACCTTGTCACTTTTCAGGGATTCTAGCACTCTTTTTTTTTAATTACACGATTAAAGTGATAACTAGACAGCGAATTTTTATGCAAAATCACATTTTGACTATCACAAAATAACATTTTAACAAGCACATCGAATTACACCCATCACTAAAGCTAAGGTGGAATTATTGGACTCATTAGCAAAGTATACTAGAGTCATAAGGCTACCAATTGCAGAGCGTAGCCAACGCTACCGCGGAAGCTCTGCCAGCAGACTCGCGCTCTGATTGGTCGGAGTTTTTCGTCAATATCTCGTTAACAAAGCCTCGGATAACATTTTTACTAAGGAAAAAGGTGTTTCAAATCATCCGAGGAACCCCTCAATTCCGGGAGTCGAAGTTATTTTGGGACACCCTGTATACAAAGTGAATCGCTCGCTGCTAGGGTCGAGAGGCAAGCCGCCTGCTTAGTCGTTTAACTGCCGTGATCATAAACTGTGATCTGATATCTGTGAGGCAGAACGAAAACTCTCGCCGAAGTTTCTCTGCATCCACTTGTTCCTTCTAACTAAGGATCGCTGTTATGGCACTACGCCTACGTCCTTCTTCGCATTCTCGATATGTTTCGGCGCGATAGTGGAAAAACTGACGATGAATTTTTTCATCTACGTACCTGTATTTTTTTTTGTTTCTGTTTTCTTTTTTTTAAATGTGGAGGAAATCTTCGAAAATTTTCGGAGTAGTGTGGGATTTTTACACACTAAAACCTCCACGATCTCCATCCCCTGTTATAATAAATGTTGAAAGTAGCTCCCTCCGTTTTCTGCGCACATCCGAGCTCTTTTTTTTTCAAATTATCGAAGACTAGTCCTAGTGTCTTCCCTGTGATAAAATCTATTCCTTCTTCGATATTTTTTTTAGCGCCTGAATGGAGCGCATCTTATTGGTATACCACCCGCCCTTTTAAATAATCCCAGAGAAAGAAATCGAGTCCGAGTCGATTAAGTTACCCCAGACACCCTGTATGTACAAAGAATGGCTTACGGTTGACTGGAAACAAATTGTATGGTCTGATGAGATTAAAATAAATAGAATTCAGTTAGATCTACACCGTCTATTTGAACTTAAACAATGCTATTTAGAGATAGCTAAATCATGTTCTAGCCCAGTCTAACATGTAATAAAATTGACCCTTTAGTTAGAATTGATGTGTATTATGCATAAAGAACAACATTTCAGTATCGTATAAAGGAATGTACCATCTGTTATGCGGTCTAGTGAGTATCAGGAAGAAATTATATTGCAACAAGACGGAGATCCAATACACACCGCAAAATTAGTAAAAAGAAACTAACTTGGACACCAGAAATTTTGTTTATTGGAATGGCCAGCCCTGGTCTAGACCTAATCGAGAATTTATGGTCGATTGTAAAAAGGAGGTTGTCAACATACGAAAGCCACTATTACGCATGCGCTAATTCTGCACAAGGGCACAATAGGTATGGTATAATATTAAAACGGAAATAATCTATAATCTAATAGAAAGTATATTAAAAGAGACTAAAAGTAGTAACAGGCAATAAAAGCAAGTGGACAAAATATGAGTGTATTAGTTTTATACCTTCATGTAACAAAAATTACTATGGAAAAACTGTAAACATGTATACTGTTTACCATAAATGAAAATAAAGTGTTACATTTTACATAAAATTTATGTGTGCCAGATACGGTCAATCAGTGTAGTAGGTCATAAATTAATAAGAGCCCAAGGAGTCTACGAGATATTTCCGTGTTTCCAATTATAAGAAACACAGCGTATATACGAATTGTAATAACTCCGAAAATTGCAATTTATCTAGGTATTACAAGGAATGCAGTACAACATAACCATAAAACAGAGGGTATTTTCTAAAAATAAATTAAAACAATTTATGGAAAATTAACTTTGTTTATTTATTAATATTGCATGGTAAAAATTAATACAAAGGTTCGGTAAATTTTTTATTTAACACGTTCGCTACCATCATATTATTTCGGAAACGTTCGTTACAGGCAGGGCTAGATTTTCATCACTCTATTCAGTGCAGTGTCCTTTTATATCTTGTGGATTACGTATTAAGAAAACATAACAGAAATAACAAATAACATGAAATATAGATGAATATTGCAAAACACATTCTGCTTTTATTAAGTAGAGTGCGCTGATTTAGAGATTAGAGCGTCACACATGTATCGAGCTGTCCCATAAGTCCTTGCCATTTTCAACAAGTTCTATTTTTTTGTATTTATGAAAGAGAGGAAAGTTACTCCCGTTATTGTCCTCTCTTTCTAGTGCCGACTCCATCCCTACCGTAAGACCGCACCGTCTATGATACATATACAGTGGACTCTAACTATATAGCCACTAAACATATTGCCACGCGAGGCACTTCCCCTTCACACGTACTTTCGCGCATACAAATTCGCTCTCCCACTACGTTGCGTATGCCGGCGCACTAGTATGATCCAGCTTTTGCGCAGACGCCGAAGCTACGACGACTGAACTTAGCATGGAGGGGGCTCTGAACTTATTACCACATTACTCCCCTACAGCCCCGATCATGGCAATAACTATACTAGAGTCCACTGTATGTCTATGCTCGGAACAAATGAAAGTTCGAATGGATGGGGTACAGTAGAGCATCCTAAGGTATGTGTACCAATGACGGAGGCTTTCAACCAGTTTGCGCAA